TTTGTCCACCATGTTGTAGGCCCTAGGTTTGTCCTCAACAAGCACTAGAGTAAAATAATAAAAAAGAAGATATGCAGAGGTGGGTAATAAACAACAACAACACACACACACACACACACACACACACACACACACACACACACACACACACACACACGGTGGGGGCGAGCCTACAGAGACCTTGCTGATAGAAGTATCCATGAAAGTTCTATTTATTAAAATAGTGGGAGGAGAGAGGGTGCTCACACTCTAGCTCCTCATCACTGCTTTCTGAAAATAGGATGTTGGTAGCTACTGCTTAGTGTTTTGTGAGCCTGAAGTGATCACAGGACAAATGCCAGCAAGTTGAAGACGGCCTATCAGAAAGACAGAGGGAACTTGGGTTTATCTGTTCAGTCGTGTGAGGATGGATGCCAGGGTCTTACACATGCTATGAGCAGTCTACCCCTGAGTTATATCTGTAGCCCAAGACAGGAACTTGGTAGTTAACCCTGGTTAATTGGAACTTGCTGTGTAGATCAGGCTGGCCTTGAATTTGCAACTATCCTCTGTTCTCTGCCTCCTAAATGCTGGGTTTATAGGTGTGAGCCACCATATCCTGTACAACCAAGGAGCCTTGAAATAACCAAACCTGAGAGTTGCCCTGGAGGTCTAAGCACTGGCGGCCTGATACATTACTTGTTTTCACCTTGTTACTCCAATGCAAATCAAGTGATGAACTGTGAAAACAAAAACAGAGAAAGGCAGAGTTAGGTTGCTTTAGGCACTGAGCCACCAAGGCAATGACAATGGTGTCACTTAGTTTACAGGTGATTTTTATGTAGAACTGTTAGAGCAGTATCACTAAAATAGATTTTATCTATTTTTAAAATCAGGACTTCAAAATCCCCCAATTAGATCAAGGGAAAAAAAAGAAACCAAATTTGCTAAGAAAAAAAGAAAAATCCATTTCCTCCTTTTTGTTGGTACTGTTCTGGTTTGTTTTGCTTTTTGGGTTTTTGATTTTCAAAAATTTTTTTTATGTGTATGGACATTTTGCTTGCATTTATGTCTGTGTACATGTGTTTCCCTGGGACTGGAGTTATAGTTGTGAACTTGTTATAGAATGAATATGCCTTCCAGTGAGAACTCACTGCCCACACTTAAGATATTAATAAAGGAACAGGCTCTTCAGTAATAGCACACAACTAATTCTGGCTAACACACAAAAGGATCTGGCCTTAAACAGAAAAAAATTTATCAGCTTATATAGACCTTAAGCTCATATATTTACATACAACACCATCTTAAATCTCCTTTAGGTTCCATCCCCAGGTTACACTTTGACAATTTAAACAAAGACAGGAAACTACAAGTCTAGTCATTTGGGCAGAATTCTTTCCTTCCTTTCTTCTTTTTATGGGGGTGGTGGTGGTTTCAAGTCAGGGTTTCTCTGTGTAGCCCTGGCTGACCTGGAACCCACTCTGTGGACCAGACTGGCCTTGAACTCATAGATCTGCCTGCCTCTGCCTCCCGAGTGCTGGGATGAAAGGTGTGCACCACCCTACAATGTTCCTTTTGCATAGTTGTTACCCAGGGGTCATCTTCCCCAACGGGTAGAACTATACTTCTTCTGATAAGAGGGTAGGAAGATGGATGGAAGATCAGGACTTAATGGTATTTGTGACCCTGTGCTGTCCCCTTGAGCTGCCTCCTGGAGTCCTTTGATATGAGGGCCAGCTATAAGTTTGGGTTGTCTCCTTTTATTATGGGAATGGAACCTAATTGAAGGTCAGTCCATGGACAAACACTAGCAACCCTAAACTTCAATTGTTCTCCACAAACTTCCTTTAGGTGGTTCCTAACAAGCCTGGTGAGTGTACTACTTAACTTCCAGTCACACTGGAGGCAGCATATGTGGTCTGGAACTCTGTACCCTCACAGCTACAGCTTTGAACTTCTGGTTCTTGGGTGAAGCAAAGGACGCTGTAGAAACCAGAACATTCCATCATGGTGAAGTTCATCTCAGTAAGGTCTGTCTATGGGCACGTTCTCAGAGCTATACTCACCAGTCAGCTGCAGGATGAGGCCTTCAGTACAACCCATGGCACTGAAAGATGTAATTAAAAGGCCCCTCCAGCACCTACAGGACTGCTGGTTATCGTGAAAAGCATCCATGTGTGGTTGTGATAAAACAGCACTATTTGGACATGCTTTTCATTTCTTGCCAGATACACTGTGTGTTAACAGCTTGCAGACAGAAACCAGGCTTCTGCGACTTCAACTGCTCATTGATGTTAGGTTTATGAGGGAGTCTGATCAGCCAGCAGGAATGTAGGCTGCTTCCACATGCTTCCCTGAGTAATCGCTACCTTCTGAGTTAGCTACCTGCCGTCAGTTTGCAGTACTCCACATGAACAAAATGTTTAGAGAATGGTTCTCAGTTTACTAAAATTGCCAATTTGTATGTTTGTCATTTAAAATGAACTCCAAGGATGGCTCACTACTGAGGTTTTAGCCTGATGAACCAGACTAGACTATGAACCTTTTGTCTTCTTGCCAATGGCTCAGAACTGTGTTGCAGTGTGTGCAATAAATGACAGCCTTGAGAGTTGAAAAAGATCACACTGATTCTGGCCACAGATTTGCCACATGCAGAACACCGCGCTTCTTTGGCTGAATTAGAAGTTACTATGTAGACCAGGCCAGGCTTGAACTCACAGGAATCCATCTGCCTCTGCCTCTGGAATGCTGGGATAAAAAGGGTGCTTCACCACACTTGGTCCAAGAACCTTTTGATCTCTGTATAACTCTTCCTTTCCCAAGCATAAGTATAGGCTATTTCTTTTTCACAGACAATCATATAGGACTCAAGTTCTAAGAAACAATATTCAAAGCTACATGGCAGCCTGTATTTGTTCCCTTCACTCCTACCTGGTCTTGAAAGGGTACATGTGAGTGCGGGAGTGCAAGACAGTATGTAAGTGTTAGTACACAAGTGTGGGAGATGTCAGAGTGAGTGCATGAGAGTTAGCTCAAGGGTGCAAGACAGTATGTAAGTGTTAGTACACGAGTGTGGGAGATGTCAGAGTGAGTGCGTGAGAGTTAGCTCAAGGGTGTAAGAGTGTTTCAGTAAATGCGTAAGTGTGTGACTGCACAGGTGTGAAGGAGTGTATTGTGTGAGTTTAAGATTGTGTGTGAGGGAGTGCAGAATTGCAAGTGTGTAGGAGTGCTTGAGAGGACAGAAGTGTGTGAGGGGGAGGTTGGAATTTTAGCAGAAGCTGTCATATTTGCAGAAAGAAATTAAAGAGGTGAATTAAACACAAAAGCTTTTCACAGCAGGAACCCTGCATATCTTTACACTTGAGTACATACTGTGGGGCATGGTGTTATATTTATTCAAACACTTAATCCTCAGAACCACCCATTATACAGATGAGGAAATCCGAACCTCAGTGAGAATGAGAAACTTACCACAGGGAAACCACAGTGTGAGGCCAGGTTGGAGGGTTGGAGTGGGTCCTCTGTCAGGTCATAATGTAGCCATAGCTTTCTAAGGAGAGCAGGCCAGGCTTCCATAGGCCACAGACACAGACATAGGAGCTCTCCTCTTTGGTTTCAGGGAGAATCCTGGAGGGGAGCCAAGCCCTTTGCTTCAGATAGGCCCTCTGTAGCTTTGCTTTGTGACTTTAGGAATGTGATTATCTCTGCTTCAGATTTTTCCACGCATACAATTTTTTAGAAAGAAGCATGAGGAGACTGGGATCCCACTGAATGTCTGCTGGTCTCACTGGCACAGCCTAGGACTGTAGTCTAGCTACTGGGTGCAGTAAAGCCACAGGAGTGTCTTTAAACACTTAAAGTGGTAACACAACACCCTGCCTCAGCTTCAAAATGGCTGGATTTTCTAGTAAGTCTCCCAGTCTACGGTCTTCAGAATGTTTTCCTTTCCGATTGGATTTTAACCACCGTGATACTAACAGACGGCATTCTCTTTTGTTTCTGAACACACTCATCCCAAAGACATATTTTGTCATACAGGCCTCCAAAGGCTGGCATTTACTTCATCAGAGACCACCAGGACCTCTGCAAACTAAACTATTAACCTTAAAGCAGAATTGTATTTTGAAAAGTTGGTTCCTCTTTTTTTCCTCTCCCAACAAATATCTTCATACCACATTACTGAATCTTAAAATGGGATTATACTGGGCATTAGCTGAATGAATGAGTGCATGTTTCCTGCTGCCGTTAGTATTGAGTCTTTCTTCATGCAAAAAGATACTCCAAAAATGACTGGGTGTCTTCTAAATTATCTCCTAATCCTAAGTCATCCTTACTTCAGTGTGAAAATTTGTTTGATCTTTGTTAAGGAGAATTCTCACAACATATTATATATATAAAATATATAAGTTATATATACATATACATATATAATTGTTTTCTTTTAAGGACTTGCTTCTGTAGAGGGTGACTGACGCAGCATTCGTTTGTCTGCCCTGGCTCATTTTTCCCCTTTGGCATGTTAGCCCCCTATTTATTTTGTGGATAACCTTTTCAAGATAAAAAGGGGTGATGACCGGAGAGGTGAAAACAAATGCTCCTGCATCGCAACCTCAGTCCAGAGAACTATTTAGGATTCTTGGACACTGAGTGGCCCTTAAACCTCATAGCACAAACAGATGGAGGGAGGCAGTGCTTTTGGGGGCATAGGCACAGTCAGGAAACCACAGCCTTAGGTACAGACCATTGGTCAAAACTGGTGCTCATCTGTAGGAGGTCCTCCCTAGGTGTGCTAACAAAGAGTAGAGGAGGGGCTGCTTGTAAACAGAGGAGCAAAGCAAGAGGACAAAGCTAGCTAATTTCTCATAGACTCAGACCCGTCTAATGTATAAAGCCTAGTAAGAGTGAACACAGTTGTGCATCTTTCAATTTTTATATACTTTGGTCATGACAGGAAAATTGTCTTGGTAATGAATTCAGAACTTTAATTTGGAAATAAACATAAATAACTTCAGGCAATGTCACTTTCACTCATTTTGTATTTAATATAACCGAATACCGTATTAAACACCTTAAGATACCAAAAGCAAACAAAGAAATCCACAGAAACTTTTAGGCTTATATCACTTATCTGGAGAAATAAATGAACCCTAAATGCTTATTGTTAGAGCTTTGGTGAAAGATTTAGTGTTTAAAAAAAACAAACTTCTCAACCTGGGCTGATTACCTAAGCTGAAACTTTTAAAGTTAAACACATTTAAAGTTCCAACATAATACAGAATTAAATACACATTTAAATAGATAGAAATGGGGATTTATTTTCTGTTCCTTTTTTTCCCACCAAAGTAGCTGAAGGGTTATTTTCTTTTACTTTCCTATGCAAATGATGTCAGACTTCAAAGGATCAATAAACAGCAGAACTGTAGTTGAGGGCTACTGGGAAGGGAGGGCTCTAATTACTGTCTAGTTAACCCTGCATTTCCCACAGATGCACTTCCCTGGCTGCTGAAGGCTGGTGCTTCTTGGTTTCAGTCACAATAGCTTGCTGTCCTTCCTCCAGAGCTCCCTTGCCTTGTGCCAGCGGGGAGGGCATGAGCTGCAGCGGCCCTGTGCCACATTTTCAAAGGTGGACAAAGTTGACACTATGACTCATTAAAACAAGCTGCTCTCGGTGCCCTTGTCCGGTCTCACTGCCTCGGTGGCCCTTGGCTCCTCTTGGAACCTTGCTGAAGAACAAAGCATTTTTATACCAATTCCAATGGGCAGAAAAGTCCAGATCACACTGTACCTAGAGAGATCAGCACCCAATAGTGACATTACACGTAAATGATTTCTTGAAGTAAAAACCCCATTTATACAATGCATAGGGAGATCATGGGATTTCATAAGCAATACTTGTTTTTATGCATAGCCAGACTTCTTTTTTTTTTTTTTTTTTTTTTTTTTTGGTTTTTTCGAGACAGCCTTTTCCTGGAACTCACTTGGTAGCCCAGGCTGGCCTCGAACTCACAGAGATCCGCCTGGCTCTGCCTCCCGAGTGCTGGGATTAAAGGCGTGCGCCACCACCGCCCGGCTCTCTCCCATTTCTCCACCACAGATTTGCTCATCTTAGTGGTGCCTGATGGGCAGGCCTCTATAATCCGATGGTTTTAAGTTTGTTATGACCACTTCTCAGTTCCCTTGTCTTATTGCCATGCAGCTCCGTAATCTACATTTCTTACATTCCATTTAAATTAGAGGAAAAAAGATAAAGCAAAGCAAATCAACCCAAGAGGGTTAAGAACAATCACAGATTAAACGATTTGCCATCAAAGCTTTATTCTTGTCATCTCTATTCTGTTCAATGTCGTTGAACACACGTCTGGGGTTCAATGAAGTAACATGCAGATGAGTGACAAGAACGAAAACCAGACAAAGGGTAGAAATGTCTGTCAATCACACTTTAAAAGTCTAGTCATACAATCTCTCCTCAGGTATTCCTTGGATGCTCACTCACATGAACTCACATATACTGTAACTGTGGATAATGGTGTCCATTACCTCTACAGGAAACACAGATTCCATAACAAGTTCTAGCGGCAACCTTATAAAAGTCTTTAGGATGCCTAACAAAATTATATCGTGATTATTCATTCTCTAGATTTGGGGGATAGAAATAGAAAAGAATATAAACAAAGCATGCTTTTTGAGGTTTCTTGGGTCAGTTAGTAGAAAAATAGGTGTTTCCTTTGGGGAGTTTATATAGTGGAGAACTCGGAAGCTGAGGTCTCTGAGCTGATTTTCACCTTCATCAGTCTTTAAGGGAGTGGTAGGCTTTGGTGGTCCGGCTGTTGACAAAGTCTGTCTTCTTAAACTGAGCCTTTGGAAGAAGCAGACAGAAATATAAAAGGCTATTAAACCCTCACATAAGAAAATGTCTCATCCATTCATCAGCTGAAGAACATTTAAGTTGGCTCCATTTCCCAACTGTTGTGAATTAAGCAGCAATAAACATGGCTGAGCATGTGTCTGGGTAGCAGGACATCAAGTCCTTCGGGCATATGTCAAGGAGTGGTATAGTTGGTCAAAAGGTAGACTTATTTTTAGCTTCCTGAGGATTTTCCACACTGATTTCCAGAGTGGCTGCAATGGTTTGCAGTCCCAACAGTGAATGATGGTGCCACTTTTCCCACAGTCCTTACCAGCATTTGTTGTCAAGTGTACTCTTGATCTTAGCCATTCTGATCAGGGTAAGAGGAAACCTCAAAGCAGTTTTAATTTCCATTTCTCTAATTGTTAAGGCTGTTGGAATATTATTTGAAACAACCTAAATGCCCTTCAACTGATGAATGAGTAATAAAAACGAAGCACATGTACACAATGGAATTCTATTCTGCTGTAAAGAAAAATGAAGTCATAAAATTTGCAGGTGAATAGATGAAACTAAAACACATTATACTGAGTGAGGTGACCCAGACCCTAAAAACAAGTTACATGTTCTCTCTTATTTTGTGGCTCTGAGCTCTTAATCTTTAGGTGTAAGTAAACAGCCTGGAGCACCTGCAGGATCAGGAAAGCAAAAAGAGGCCACGGTGCTGCCAGGGAGGGAGGGAGAGGTGGGGGCTGGGGAGGGAGGGAGAAGTGTAGGAGGGGGAGGGAGGGAGAGGTGGGGGGTGAGGGAGAGGTGGGGGTGAGGTGGGGGTAAGGGACAGGTGGGGGGTGAGAGGTGGGGGAGTGAGGGAGAGGTGGAGGAGTGAGGGAGAGGTGGGAGTGAGGTGGGGGTGAGGGAGAGGTGGGGGTGAGGTGGGGGTAAGGGAGAGGTGGGGGAGTGAGGAAGAGGTGGGGGGTGAGGGAAAGTTCTTGAGTGGGAATGGCAAGACAGAGGTGACATGAAGGTGGAAATGGGAAAGCGAGGCACTTTAACTGGGAAGGGGAGGCAATCCAGAGGAAAAGTGGAGGAGGAGGATAAATAACACTAAGGCTGTTTGAAAAGACAGGAAGTCACACTACTTTATGTTTCCTAAATTACCTGTGATATCTGTGTACACATAGATATATAGCTTACAGAAGGTACACCACCTGGGCTATCTTCAAACCTATGCATGAGAAACCTCCTCTTGATTTGTTGGTCAGAGGAGTCAAGAGACTCCCAAAGCAATGTAAGCTATGGCTGTTTCTGTGGCTGCCTCCAGATTTGAAGGTAAGTCCCTAGTGCTGAAGACACCATACGCTTCGGGACACAGGACTTGGAGGAATTGAGCTGGAACTGATTAGGAAGTCTCCTTCCTAAGGAACGGCTCTCACATATTGGAAGGTGCTGTGCAAGTTTCCAACCGAGGAGGATCAGCAGTTCTACCCAGATGTAAAGCCTGTGTGCCACGGTGACTGACGTGGCAAGATATCCATAATGCTGCAGAAGTGGCACTTTTATCCTGGAGATAATCAATAACTGTCTAATTGGACTTAAGGATCACTCAATAGGACTGATATCATATCTGGTATTGTAAACCCTGGAGAAGTCTTTTCACTGGGAGGAGAACCCACTACTGCCAGATTCTAAACCAATGTAACTTTCAATTGTATTTTAAATACTTTTCCTTATAGCCACAGATAAGTATAGCTCTTACTTCTCATGAAAGCTTCAGTTTGCAACATACGGAGGCTATTTTTTCCTCTATACAGAGACTATTACCAAAATCTGCATTGGTCAAAATGCATAGAATAAGGGACTGTGGAACGCCTAGCCACAACTGATAAATCTGCAGTGCAACCCCTATATCTAAGGCTCAGGGAAAATCATGGAAAAAGGGACAGAAAGATTTTAAGAGCCAGAGGCCCACAACATCTGGGCCTTGATAGATTGTGTTCCCTAGATATGACAGAGAAAATGAACTCATGGACTTTCAATAATACTATTGTTTGAACAAGATCAGCAAAATGGCACTACCAGTTGACGTACCAATGTGGACAGGGGTAATGCCACACCTTTCTTCTCCTAGATGAAGAGCTGCAGGTCAAGGGAAGCTGAGAGAGGGAGAATCAGTTGCTTCCAGGGATGAACTCCTACATAGGTTGTCCAATTGCATGTGGTCAGCTAAGTGGACTCAGTAGGTTACATGGACATGTATATATGTATCTATTCATGCATAAATGTATATACATGTAACAACAATACTTAAAGAACAGAACCTGAATTTGGGAGGGACAATGCAGTGCCCATGTTTGAAATTTTCAAAACACAAATCTAAACAACAGCAAAACTATTTAAATACAAAAAAAGAAGAAAGTGCAGCTGTACGGTGATTTCTGAAGAGGGCTAGGGCAAGTGTCAGTGTTCTTACCTTCTTGTAGGCGGTATGGAGTTCCGTATGAGCCCACAGAGAGTACAGAAGGACAGAAGCAGCTTTGCTGGCCTTGTTGGGGGCATAGCTGAAAAGAGAGAGGCCTGTGGGTCAGTGAGAACGTGGAGCTTTGGCCATTCCCTTCACATTCTTTAAGTGGCTTCAACAGCTGCTACTTGTCACACACAGAAGATGAGCTTTGCAAGCCAGATTTCACCTTTTTTTTTTTGGTTTTTCGAGACAGGGTTTCTCTGTGTAGCTTTGTGCCTTTCCTGGAACTCACTTGGTAGCCCAGGCTGGCCTCGAACTCACAGAGATCCTCCTGACTCTGCCTCCCGAGTGCTGGGATTAAAGGCGTGTGCCACCAACGCCAGGCTCAGATTTCACCTTTTAAGAGGCTCTTTTATGACTCATAAGGGCAGCACTAGTAAATAAGTGATTTACAGAGAAAAATCCACGCTATTTATATATGTTATAAATCCTTCAATTTACTTATAGAGTCTTTACATTTGTATATTTATGGTATATAGTTACAGATTCTAATGCAGAAAAACAAGTGAAAATGTGTATGCCTCTGAGACTGAAGGACCCTACCATTGTAGGGGCAAACCAATTTTTTCCAGTTAATAAAATACACTCTGTGGCAGTACTTGTTCAAATAGTTTTCAAATCATTATGTCTGTAGTACAGAGTGACGGAGAACTTACTGTCACAGCCCAGTCCCCACTGCATTTGACACGGCACTGGTTTCTGATGTTCCAGTTCTAAATGTGTCCTCAACTTCCCATTTCTGGCTAGAGGTCAGTTTCTTTTTAGATTTCATTACCTTCTATTACCTACTAATACACAGGTGTATTTTCTTAAATCGTAACCATCACTCTGAGAAGCCGACTCATTACGTCAGTAATTACCAGAATTCACAAGGAAGAGAAATGATGGCATCTGACTTGATCTTCTAAAAGAATGGATGGCTGTATAGCTTGGCTGACTCAGTTCTTTCCTTGCCCAACCATCAAGAACTAGAGGAGATACAGCCCAGATCTGTGATGTAGACTCAGCAGCTAGAGCACTTACATAGTTATGGCAGCGGGTGCTGTGGGACGGTCTGTATGTCAAATGTGTTGTTGATTGGTCAATGAATAAATCACTGATTGGCCCGTGGCCAGGCAGGAAGTATAGGCGGGACAAGGAGGAGAAAAACTGGGAAGTGGAAGGCTGAGTCAGACACTGCCAGCTGCCATGATGAGAAACAGCATGTAAAGATGCCGGTAAGCCACGAGCCATGTGGCAAGGTATAGATTAATGGAAATGGATTAATTTAAGCTGTAAGAACAGTTAGCAAGAAGCCTGCCACGGCCATACAGTTTGTAACCAATATAAGTCTCTGTGTTTACTTGGTCGGGTTTGAGCGGCTTGGGACTGGCGGGTGAGAGAGATTTGTCCTGACTGTGGGCCAGGCAGGAAAACTCAAGCAACAGGCGGGAAATGGAGACAGTGATGGGCAGGTACTAAGGACTTACCCTTCTCCTATGCTGATGGTCATAATTTTCTGCAGGCCTCCAGTGTTCAGGAGGTCTCGTGCATTCTGGTAACTATTCTGCATTAAATTGTTCAATGTATAGCAAGCAGAGGCTGTAGTTTCAATGAGAAGGTCAGTACTTGGGACTGTATCAGGAATTATGGAAACCAAATCTGGTAAAGTTTCTTTGGCTATAAATTGAAAGAAAAACAATGCTTTGTTAGAAAGATTTTTTTTGTGGGAAGACAGGTGTATGCGTGAACATGTGTGTTGCACACACATGAGTGTTCAGTTTGTGTGCCTCCTGCACAGGCACATGAAAGTCAAACAGGGTGTCAGCTGTCTTCCATACTCCCTCTCCACCTATGGCTTTGAGACAGGGTCTCTGACTGAACCAGAGTTTGGTTTCTAGGGCACTGGCTGGCCAGTGAGCTCATGGGATCTGCCTCTCCCACCCTAAGTGCTGGGGTCACAGGGCATTAGATGACATATGTATGGAAAAATGCTGAATCTCTATAACCAAATCTGAAAACCTAACGCCCACTCTCAGTGTACTGAAAACCCTTCCACAGAGAAAAATATCAAAAATTTAAAAATTTCATACTCTTCAATCCAGAAATTCCACTTCTGGCAATATAGACATCACCTTAAAAGTGGAAAAAGATTCTACAAAGATATTTTGAATAGAGTTATCCTGACTGCAGGGTGCACAAGCTATCCCCCCTCTGATGAATGTCTCTAACTTATAATACTGGAAACGCTACCTTCCTCCACAGGTTGTTCTGAGTGAGCTCAGGAGTCCCATTAATCGTGGCCTCACATACTAAGCGCTTAAGAGATGTAAGTTATTATAAGAAGGTTAAACCACAGACTAAAAGAGCTTGGGAACATGAGTATTCCTTTCAAAACTTATGTGGACAACAAGGAAATAATTCTGAACCAAATAACAGGAAGGCTCCAGCCACCCACTGAGAGCTGTGCTACATCCTTTTCATCACCACAGCAGCAGGTCCCTTCTACAGACCAAGGTTAGGGAAACACATACTGTCAAGGCTGAGGAAGAGCAGCAATTAAAGGAGTTGTCTATTGTATTTAGTTGTCTTAGGAAAGTACATTTATCAATAAAATGCATTCTACAATATACTATGGGAAGGCATCCATCTAAACCCATATCTACAATATATTCATTCTCTCTCTCTCTCTCTCTCTCTCTCTCTAGATAGGTAGGTAGATAGATACATACATATATACATATATAGATGAATAATGAAATAAATGAAAACCTACCTGGCTAGAAATCTCATTAAAAACATAACATGTATTGAAATGGATTTTTTTTGTTTGTTTTTCGAGACAGGGTTTCTCTGTGTAGCTTTGCGCCTTTCCTGGGACTCGCTTGGTAGCCCAGGCTGGCCTCGAACTCACAGAGATCCACCTGGCTCTGCCTCCCGAGTGCTGGGATTAAAGGCGTGCGCCACCACCGCCCGGCGAAATGGATTTTTACTTATTCCTGGTTTTATTAAAATTCAGAATCAAGATGAGTCCTATTGCTTAAATTACATACTGAACATAAAACAAATTTGCAATTTTAAAATTGCAATTACACAATTATGCAATTGCAATTATGTTGCTGACAAACATAGATAAGACAGACCCACTGAATGGAACTGCCAATGGGTGAGAGGTGTCACACAGATCGAGGGTCTCACTAATTAGTGTGGTCCAAGATTTCTTTTCTGCAAGTAATCAAAGCAAATGAAGAGAAGGCTGGATGTTAGGACAATCCAACGTTAGTGAGGGAGGGAGCTTGCTCCACACCCTCCCTCACTGGAGCAAAGCCAGGCCTGCTTATCACCGGCTCTCCTGCACGTGTATGTTCAGTAAGCACCTATGACATGCAGCCCTCAACTCACCAATTTCATTCTGCAGAGAAAGATTCCGTGACAAATTCCTCAGCAGGGAGACGGCAGTCTTTTTCACACTGGGATCACCCACGTGCAACATTTTCCGGGTGTGCTGAAGACCATTTTCCTTCTGGACAACCATTCGAGCTACTGATGTGGGCATCTGTTTTGAGACACATCCTGTAAATGCTACCACATTTGCTATCAGAGAAATACGTTCTCTGTAGAGTTCAGAGGCTGAGAGACAATAAAAGCTAGAATGCTAACAAAGGCACTTTACATATATTTTCTTTAAATTCTTTTAGATTTTCAACATAATTGCTGAATAAAAATATTTTTTCATCTGGGCAGTGGTGGCGCAGGCCTTTAATCCTGGCACTCGGGAGGCAGAGACAGGCAGATCTCTGTGAATTCTAGGACAGCCTGGTCTACAGAGTGAGTTCCAGGTCAGCCAGGGCTACACAGAAAAACCCTGTCTCGAAAAAACAAAAAAAAGTTACTCGTTACTTTTTGCATCTGTGTTTATAAGTAAATATTATAAGTAAATAGGTCTGACTTTACTTTCTACTACACTTAAAATTTTAATTTGTGTGTGTGCCCACCCTGTACATGCTTGTGGAAGACAGAGGAGACCAGCACGTGTTTTCTATCATCCTCTACTTTATTCCCTTGAGCCAGGGTTTCAGTGAACCTGAATGTTGGTGTTTCTGCTAGGCTGGCCAGCAAGCTCTTGGGATCTACACGTCTTCATTACCCAAAGTGCCCGTTCTGGCTTTACGTGGGTGCAGGGCAGTCAAACTGAGGTGCTTGTGCTTGCAACTAAGTACGTGTGGCCACTGAGCACCTCCCAGTCCTCTTGTACTGAACTTCTGAAATCAAGGTTTGAGTAATACAAACTTAATAGGACAGCATTTTTTCTATCTTCTTGAACTATTCATCTAATATAAGCTCATCTTTGTGGGTCTGGTCAAATTTGGCCAGGTAGCTGCTAGCCACTGCTACACTGACCCAGAATCTTAGTTTTCCTAGACTAACCACTGAGGTGAGAAAACAAAAGTTTCCTTTGTTACCACTTGGCTTCATTCATTAGCTGATGCTTACTTAACACTCCTGTTTCTTCTGGTTCAAGTTTTGGTAACTAACATATTTCAACAAACTTATTTCTAAACTATAAACCCAATGCATTATAAAAAGAGAATTGGGATTTTTAAGAAGCATTTTTATTAACTCTCTGAGGATTTCATATAATGTGTTTTGGTTATATTTACCTTTCTCTCCTAATTCTTTCCTGATCCACCCTCACTTCTGCCCTACCCACCCAGCTTTGAGTTTTCTTCTTCTTTTAAAACCCCATCTTGATATATTGCCTCTCTGGTGCACCCACCAATGTATTTTAAAGTTGCCTTGGTTTATGACTTTCTTTGTGCTGTAAAACTATAAAAACTTCATGAAATTGCTTCCGCACTGGAACATGGAATTTGGGGTAACCTAAATCTGTGTTCCTGTGCCATGATCACTCATAGTGGCTCCAGAATAAACGATCTCTTATTGTCCTTTAAAAAGAAAAAGAAAATAGACGCAAAGAAACTCATTAAGTCTAATAGGGGCTGCCCAACCACTATCAGATGTGGGTCTGCCCTGGGGTATGGCCGACTCATCAGGGATCATAGCACTAAAGAAAACTGACTTTCTTTTCCTCAGCAGCTATCAAATACCAACAGCTTTCAGCTAGAGGTGGGACTCAACATGTGTCCCTCCAGCCCCACCACTGGGGTTTTCTTCTGGCTTGAACGTGTGTAGGTCTCACTCATGCTGTCACACTCCCTCTGAGTTCCTGTGTGCAGCTGTCAGGTGGACATCAGGCTTTTGAGAAAGTCAGCACGCTGCTAGCTGGATCATGTTTTCTTTCCGTGTAACTCCTACTTTCACTGAACTTGCTCTGCAGACCAGGCTTCCCTCGCACTAACTGAGATCTGTCTGCCTCTGCCTTCTTAGCACTGGCATGGATTACCGTAGTCTGTTCATCCGAGGCTACTGCTGGCCCAGGTCTAGGAAAATCTTACTCGGGATCTAAATACTGACCTGGCTCTTTCTAGCATCAAGAGATCTCAGTGCTGTAGCCTTAGCTTGTATCTGTAACTTCACATTAAACTTCCATTTGAAGTTAATATGAGGCTACCATGACAATAATTCTTGGGATTCTCAACCATTCTTTAGGATGTTGATCTTTTTTTGTCTCATATACACACTGACTCCTACCACCATCTATATTCTTCATTTTCTCAATTCTATTTTCTAGAATTGACATGCTTAATGGAAAGCTGAGCACAGATGGTGGAATATGTAGGATCTCTAAAACTATTTTTGTGTTTATAATCAATATTCCTCGGGAAATTATACATCACTTTACTAGAGTGTCAAAGTTTCCATGGCTCAAGGAAGTGAATTATTAGTACTTTAAATAGTTGTTATGTTGTCATAACTATTTGTCTTCCTCCACCTGTCATCCTCTAAGAAGTTTCCTTCTCCAGAGCTACCCAGGGAGGAAGCTGTTTACTATGTACAATCTCAGACCTTGGGTCAAGAGGAAGGATGGGTACTCCTCTCTCCCCATACGCCATCTAAATGTCCATTTTATCCGAAGGCTAGGCGGAGTGGCAGTCAGCAGTCTTCCCCTTCCTGCGCATGCAGCTGAGCAAACTAACCATTTCACACTCCTAGGCTTCCAGCTTCAATTCTTTCCATATATCAACTGCTTAGTCTCACTGTCACACAGAACCAGAAAAACATCGTCCTATGTGGCATAGAGCTCTGAATAGCTTTTTGTTCTTGTTCTCTGCCCATTTATCTCCATGTTTAATCCCTTTATCCCACCCTTGAATCCCTAAACCTCACATCACCAACTGTCTCCTGTTAGCATCTGTCCTAAGGTAGAGTTGCCTGAGCTATCACACAAATGCTGTCCGTCTACCCTTAACAATGTTGTCATTCCAAGAAAATAAGTGACAAGTTTAGGCTGTTTATGTTGTTTTGTCATAGTATAGTTAGAGTAATTAATTAATCAGGAAGCTGTGGGAGGTTATGTTATTCATATATATATATATATTTTAAAGATTTATTTATTATGTATACAGTGTTCTGTTTGTATGTATGTCTGCATACCTGAAGAGGGCGCCAGATCTCATTATAGATGGTTGTAAGCCACCATGTGGTTGCTGGGAATTGAACTCGGGACCTCTGGAAGAGCAGTCAGTGCTCTTAACCTCTGAGCCATCTCTCCAGCCCTAATTCATATATTTTTATACTTGAGAGTCAGATCAAGGGGAGAAGTGTAAGTGAGGGAAAAATAATTTCTAGCATTGTAGTAGGTTGAGATTTTTTATGTAATCTGTGTCGTATGTGCTAGATACTTTAACTAGAAGGGCTAGTCCTACAGCTGCTTCGAATGCCTCGAAGACTAAAATTACGATGGCGGTTGGGAATATTATTATTAGTGGGAGTTGAGGAATGCAATTGTAGCTGTGATGAATAATGGAAGTATTATGCCTTCAAGACATAGGAGGGTTGATATGAGGTGAGATCTGTGTTCCTTGAAGGGAGAAAGTGAAGGCAAATGTGATGTTGAGAGCCACAGATGTCATTTTGGTAATTATGATTAGTATCATAATCTAATGAGTTGAAATCATTAATTTGAGTTAAACTAATTACCAATGTTATTTGGTCCATTCTGGCTTTTTTTTGTAGTCATTCGTAGGTGAGGCCCAGATAGATACAAGGATAAAAGCGGTGAATGGTATAGTTTTAAGATTGGGTGTTTGAATAGCTCAGGGTAGGGGGAGTAGGCGTGCAATCTCTAAGTCAAATAGAAAGAATGTAATTGCTACAAGAAAAAATTTTATAGAAAAGGGAAGACAGGCTAAATGTATAGGATCAAATCCACATTTGTATGGATTTGCTTTTTCTGTATAAATGTTAAGTTGGGGAAGTCAGAGGGCAATGGAGATCAGGAGAAGTGATAGGATGATAGTGATGAAAAGTACAATAAGTATATTAATGACTTTCTTCTAGGTTAAATTCTAGATCTAACTATTGGAAGTCAATTGTACTGGTTATACTAAGAAAGTAGGATCCTCATCAATAAATAGATACACATAGTAAAAGTCAAACTACATCTACGAAGTGTCAATATCATGCTGTGCTTCGAAGCCAAAATGGTGTTTGGATTGTAAGTAGAATTTTAGTTATCAAAGGCATACTATAATAAATGTAGACCCAATAATTACATGGAGGCCGTGGAATCCAGTTGCTATAAAGAATGTGGATCCATAGATTCCATCTGAAATGGAGAACGGAGTTTCAAAATATTCTGTGGCGTGAAGATTTGTGAAATAGAGTCTGAGTGTAACTGTAATAAGTAGGGCTTGATTTACATGGTTGCGTTTACCTTCTATTGGGCTATGGCAGGCTCATGTAATAGAAACCCCGGATGTTAGGAGTACTGATGTTTTGAGAAATTGAGAAACTGATGTTGGGTTCATTTAGCTTTTGCCTTGTCTGATTTTTAGATTTGTCACATCACTAGAATAAATAGTACATTTTCAGATTAGCATCTCTGCAATCTCATTCATCCAACCTCTCCCATGACCTCAATGGTGCTAATAAATTTGATGATTTTAGGCCAAGTGGTGTTGACACACACCTTTAATCCCAGCAGCTGGGAGGCAGATCCAGGTGAATCTCCATGAGTTCAAGGCCAGCCTGGTCTACATAGTGAGTTTCAGGACAGCCAGAGCTATGTAAGAGACCTTGTCTGAGAGAGAGAGAGAGAGAGAGAGAGAGAGAGAGAGAGAGAGAGAGAGAGAGAGAGAGAGAGAGACTGAGACTTTGTAACCAAGGGTCTGGAGGGATATAGCTCTGACATCTTTTCCAGAGGACCCAGTTTCAATCCTAGCACCCACATGGCAGCTCACAACTGTCTCTAACTCCAGTTCCAGGGGATCTGATATCCTAATATACACGGAAAAAAAAAAAAAAACCCAAAACAACAACAACAAAAAACTTGCTGATTTTAAACACCAATGGCAGATCTGGACAGAAGCTTCTTTCAAAATCCCATCTGATTTAACCTGCAATGGTTATCTGCTGCCTTCAGAATGATGTTCAGACACCTTAGTGTGGCTCATGCTGTCCTTCCTCACATGGCTTCCCCTTCTTTACCACTAGTCTGCAGTTACCTAGGTAAAATTACTTTAGTCCATATTTCCCTTGTTAGACCATGAGTTTCTGGAAACAGTGGAGTTCTTCCTTTTTCTTTGTTCACAAGCATGCTTATGACAAATCAAATAAATAATGGTTTGTATTCTTAACTCTAGTGTGTTGGTAAGGTGGCTTTATCATTTCACAGTTTTATTTAAAACAAACAAGCTTCTATGTTAAGACACTTATTGGGCTGGAGAGAGAGCACCAACTGCTCTTCCAGAGGTCCTGAGTTCAATTCTCAGCAACCACATGGTGGCTCACACACAACCACTTGTAATGAGATCTGGTGCCCTCTTCTGACCTGCAGGGACACATGCAGGCAGAATACTGTATACATAATAAATAAATAAATCTAAAAAAAAAAAAAGACACTTATACTGGGAATGAATACATTTTCTGAAATGTTTCTGTTCCCTTGATGAGTGTTTTAATCTATGGGGATATATAACTGAAGACTGGCTATGTAATGAACTATTTTGGAGTGATTACTTCATGATCAAGGTAACCATAAGCTTAGTTCTAATAATGATTTAAAATACAATATAGAAACACATAACAGGAACACAATATACGGCACAGGCAAAAACCTTCTGCCATACGCTTTGACTCCGATGATAAAAAGTCAGTCACTGGAAAGAGAATGAGCTCTGCCCTGTGGATGGGTTCCCAAGATACAGATGTGCAGATGCCCTTTCAAGTCCCAAGCTATTGTAGACATCATTGTTTTTACCTACGAAGAATGCATGACTTCTTTTGGTGTGAACATTGACTTTCTGCAAGGGAGCATTTCTTTAAGGTAGTGCAAGAGGCAAGTGCAAAAGTACCCCTGCCAGTGCAAAGTACTGGGCACTTTACCCAGACCAGGCCAATTAACATCACAGTCTCCTCCCAGAGCCCAGCTGAGATACAAATTGGGCCAGTGAGACACCTTTGCTGAGTTCTTAATAGCACTATTTGTGAGGACACCAGGTTGTTAAGATATAAGTCTGTGGTCATTCCTAGCTATCCTCATTACCATACGGGCACCCAGGAAGCAGAATCTAGAGACAGAGTGAGGCATTCAAGACTAATCTTGAAAGAAGACAGACCCACCCCAAACATTTGAGTTCCACGATATGAGAAATTCCTTCCTTTCCCTCTGTATTTTTCTTGACTAGCTTGAGGCAGGATTCTGAGGACTGTAATGGAAGAAGAACTAAGCAATATAAAAGCCAATAAGTTGTTTTTGTAATTGTAGTCTGATGCAGCTTTACAGAAACTGAGGCTCAAGGTAGTGGAAGGCTGAAACCCTGGTCGTTTCTGAGAACTGCCATGGCTGGAAGGAGGAAATCTTTGCTCCTACCTGATTGCTTCACCTCTGCACCTAAGGTGGACATGTCTACAATGCCCTCACTTTAAGAAGTAGAAAAGCTGGCACAAGACTTACCGGGCCACCTCCTGCTGTGAGATTCTGGAGAGCTCCTAATGACGCCTCTTGGGTATAGTTTCGGGCACTCTTGGCAATTAAGGACAAATACATCCTTATCACAATGGAATGCCACAGCCACTCCATGCCCCGGGGGCTACTCTTCTCTTCAGGCATCGGTATGTCTTGGTATTGCTAAGCACACAGAGCAAATGTACTTCAAATGATGTCTGCAACTCTGCAGCCATACCAACAGACCAGAAATATTGTCTAGAAAGACTAGCAAATCAGAAAACCAGTATATATGATTTTCAATTAACTTTTAGCTCACAATAATTACTTCTAAGAAACTCTCACACTCCCCAAGTTTACACTTCACAGTCAAGGGATTAAATACAGGTCCTTCTAAAAAGATTTCCAGTTGCATTTAACCTAGATTCTAAATGGTCACTATCACTTTGAAGATAAGGAAACAGGTCTGTTCCCTCAAAAGCTTATAGAATTGTTTGGGATGGTATCAAGGGCCTAAATTTTCCAAATTCAAGAATACCATAACACAAAGAATATAGTAGTTCACGTTCTTTTCACTTTTATGTCAGTTCTGAAAGAGATATGTTATCTTTTCTGGGAAATTTGCTTTGAATGTGTTCATAGTTTATTTTTAGGATACGAAATGAAACACCAAGGCTTCTGGTAATGCTTAAACAATGATTGTATCATGGCTCACAAAGGACACAGGGCAGCATGGTTTAATCACTAACTGCACAAATGTGGAGCCAGATTAGTGGGGACTGAATTTTATCCTCTTCACCCAGTCACTGAGTTGATGTAGGAAAACTAACGAGCTTTTCTGTACCTGTCTTCTTACTGCTAGAGCCTCCTGGGAGGACTGATGTGAGAACTAAATTAGAAATAGTAGGTGACATATACTCAGGAGTAAGAGTCTCCTGACCCCCATTCTCCCTTCATCCCCATCTGTCTCTCAAAGATATCCTGACATACCTCTTTTACTTTCCTACTTCGACTGCCAAAACACCCAACACTTTTGATACTGTTAGTCTGGACATTCCGGTTTTGCATGTAGATACTCTGGGAATACTTCTCTGGGAGCTCTGCTTCTAGCTGGTAGGAGAGGTTATGAAGAATGCATACACAGTTCTCTGTGGCCTGTGGAAAGAACATGAATACTGTTCATATTCATATTGACATTCCTTTCACATGACTTATCACAGGTTATTTAGGCTTCAGCTCTTAAAAGGCTTATTGCATGCAATTTAGTATGCTTGGACAATACCATATGCAGGAGTTACTGAGAATAGCTGGAATGGCTAATGTTAGACCATGAATAAATGGTCATGAGTACTATGCTAAAACACAGAATCCAAGTTTCTCAAAATAATGGGTAACCTCCCCCAACCCTTTTTAACATATCTGGAGACTGAATCCAGGGCCTCTTGCACAGGGGACAAATGTTCTACCAATGAGCTATAGTTCTAACACCTTAGAGTATTTCTAAAAAACATATGTCCAGAACAACTTCGAACATCCTATACATAAATTAGTAGCCACACTAATATGGAGAATAGGATGGGACACTGCGATCAATTAGGAGGCTACTATAATAACCAGTGTAAAGGACACACAAAAGGAAGGGCAGATATAGCACTGGAGAAGCAGCATACGGTGTACTGCTTGTGCATACAGGGTGTAAGGAAGAGGAACAGCCCAAAGTCATTCATACTTCAGTCTTCTTTTGGTAGATGGTGAGAATTCATCTGTCCATTCATTCTGTCTAATTAAGGTGTTATACATGTCAGGCCAGTTTTACCACCAACCTACAATCTCTAGCCACTGATATGCTGATTATTAGAAAGATTAGAAAGAAAATGCACAACATTGTGGGGATGGAAGAAATTTTTTTGTTTTTGTTTTTGTTTTTTTGTTTTTCGAGACAGAGTTTCTCTGTGTAGCTTTGGAACCTGTCCTGGAACTCACTCTGTAGACCAGGCTGGCCTTGAACTCACAAAGATCTGCCTGCCTCTGCCTGGGATTAAAGGCGTGCGCCACCACTGCCCAGTGGAAGAAAGGAATTTAAGCATTTATTGTTAAAAGTGTAGTGTTTGTGTTCCTGATGAGAATCCACACTGAGTTGTTAAAAAGTGTGTTGGAAATTTGGGTCTGAAAAAACTCTGAGCCTAAGGCTAGAGACAGAAATTTAAGCATGCAATGAAAACCTTGGGCTTGGAAAGTAAGTCAAGGCACAAAACTACATCAAGTTTATTTTAAGTCTGAAGCATCTCAGTAAGTCATAATGGGTGATCTGGTGTGAGGATGCTGAATTCTTGTTACCTTATCATCTGGCTGGTAGTCTGCCACAGTTCCTCTGACATAATGGACCAATGAGTCAATGAGCCCGTCGCATCTTCTCATTGTCTTCCTCCCATCAGGGCCAGCTGAGCTCATGTTTCTTTCAAGAACAACAAGAAACTGTAAGATGTATTTTATCTAGCCCACAAAGGCCTGTGTGAGACGTGAGTTATGCGCCCCAAAGGCCTGGACAAGGCCTGTGCTATGAACCCAATGGGCCTGAGTTTCAAAGCTTCGTTTAAGGCTTCTTCCAGCTGTTTGGAAACTGGCAAACAAGCAAAAATTTGAGAGCTTGTCATCAGTACAGTAAATCGTCAGCTGCCTAATGTCAAACCTGAAACCATAAGCACACAATCACATCAGTAAGTTTTCTACCTGCTGCACTCCATGTTATCAAGTCCCAAATATGATTTATTAAATCTTGCCCATATCTTTGAGAGGCAGATATGAGGTAACTGTTTGTAACTAAAGGAACACAGCACACTAGACATAAGCAATATGCTGTGTCCAAGTCCCAATTTGCTCCACGTCTTAACTATAAGTAACCTGAAGTTGTCCTGGGTCTCATTTTCTTCATCTGTAAAAATGTGTTGGACTCTGTTGCTTGAGTCTTGAAGGTTTTTATACAAACTGTTATTGACAAATATTAAAAATTGACTCTTAAACATGACGGTCCTCTCCTTCGCACACTTTCCAGGGTCTGTGACGCCTGACCTATAAACATCTTTGTGCTTAGCCTTCTAATTTTGCTAAGTCATGAGCACAGGCAGAGGCTGCTTCCTTATAGAGAAATGCAGCTCATCAAATATGGTAAAGCGAAATATTTGGTGATCACACGGCAGATTCAGGTCATACCTATATTTGCTGCTAACCACAGGAAAACGTAATGGAATTCAGCTACTATCACAAAAGCTACTACTTGAAAAAGCCAAGGACTTCTCCAACGGTGTCAAGCCATGGCTTAAGAAGTCTTGCTGATATTTTAGCTTTTGTATGTATATTAGCTGGTTCCTAAAATGATTTTCTTGTGTGCTTCCAAGAACTCCTAACAGTGTATTTATCTAAAATACCTCTCAAGCATCCAAGGCCAAAGGAAACAACACCTGTCTCCTAGGTCAGGGGATAGTTTTATTTCTTGTGCAATTTAGGGTGAGACCCTCCTTTCTTGTACAATCTTACTAACAGACCCCTAACTCCTTACCTAACCACTTCTCGGAATGTAGACTGAGCACATAGATCCCCTTTTTGATATACTAACCGGTCATTAGCACTCAGCTGACCTCCTCTTTTACCACTCCTATTTTGGGTTGTAAAAGAAAGCCTCACTGCCTGAGGAAAATTCTTACCTGCCTTTATGACCCTGTAAGAATTCAAGTCTGGTGACCTTGCTCTGGCAGAGGATGCTATTGCTTGGGTTTATAACTAAACACCTCCAAGACTTGGGAGGACTTAGAGGTATAAGGAGACAGAGAGGAAGAGAGGAGTGGAGGACTTGAGGATGGAGAACTGAGAGGGATAAGGAGGATTTTGGTCAGAGAGAACGTGTGGACAAGATGGAAGAAAAGGAAGAGCCAGATGGGGAAGTACTAGCTGGGTAAGAACAAGAGAAGGACCTAGATGAGGCAGAACTAAGATGAGAAAATTAAGATAGAACTTAGAGGGGACAATAGATAAATATAGAGAGAAATCAGGTAAGAAAGGAGCTAGGCATGAGAACAGAACTGAAGCTGTGTAGATAGGATTTTATCCCAGAGGAATAAAGTAGACAGATAAAGAGCTTGTTGTACTTAGATTCTTTTCCCGAAAATAATTCTTGTCGATCATAGATTCTCTTCTGAGTGCCTGGGAAGTATATTATTAAGGCTGGTCCTTTTAATACTATACAAAATAAATTCTGGCATTTTTATTTCTATATTCCTTTGCATTAAGGTTTTCTTTTAATCATTAGCCACTCAAAAAAAAATTTCCCCTGAAAAAATGCTAACACGTCTGTCAACAAGAAAAGGGGCTGCAGGGGTGTTGCAGCAGCCAGGAGCCCCCAGGCTCAGTTCCCTGCACCCATGTCAGTTCCAGGGGCTCTGATGCACTCTGGGTTCTGTAGGCTCCTGCACGCACATGGTACACATAAACTCAGGCATATACATAAAATAAAAAGAATATTAAAAAAGATTAGAGTTTGGAATTTGAGAACTGCCTCCTATTCCTTTTGCCAACTTTAATTGAAAAAAAAGATTGTAAACTATGTCATGCCTGTTTATGGGCAAGTAGAAATATCAAAAATACATTCAGGAGTTCTTCTTCATAATGTTTCAGTGTTACCATAAGACTAATAGTTCAAGAACTTCTGGGGTCTTATTTAAAAATATAATTGCATTAAGTGATTTCAAAATACTTTTGTGCCACGCCCACGACGGTGTCGCCCGCGTGACAAATGCCTTGGATGAGGTGGTTACGTGGGAAAGGGGGGCTCGCGGCCCTCGGGTCTATGCCCCCGGCGACCCCTTATCAATCTGCCCGAATCATGGTGCCAGGCTACACGGAACCACACAAAATCTGCTTACAGAGGCTGGCTGGCACTCTGCCTTTTTCTCTTTGCAGCTGTGACTATTGCTGTTTCCTTGTGTATTGATTTCAGGGAGTTAGCTCTCAATGTTTCTGATGTGCCCCATAAAGAGAATAATGATTCCTCAAAAGTGGCCTCAATACCCCCACCTATAATTCAAGCTTTTAGGCAAACAGTTAAAGAGGGTCCTAGAAGTTTGGGGGAATTTATGAATGATTTAGAACAAAAAGAACTTATGACTCAGAGGGACAAAGAGTCTAGCGAGGAGAGATGAAAGTAAAAGTCCAGGAACTCATAAGCAATCTACACGCGCAGCCAACAGCAGCTGCAAGGAAGCAGTTACAGGAACTAACCAGTCCTACAAGAATTATCAAGGGACAAATAGAGTTTCTCATCAAGGGTCGGTGGTGGCAACCCCCTAACTTTAATCCTAGATATAATAATTATTTGGAGCCATTGCCCTTTACGGGAGCTTATGATAAACATGGGAACCAATGGGTGAATCATAATAGCATGAAAACAGAATGGCATAAGTTACAGTTCATGGAAAGAATAGCTAGGTCCCAACCCCCCTGGTGCCTTCTCACCTGCAAGCAAAGGTTAAATATTTTCACACAAATGAAACCATGGTTAGAATGATGGTGGGAAGGGTTTAATTTTGATACAAAACAAAGGTCTAATAATTACGTAGAAGGAAAACTTCAGCTAGGGCCGTAATGTTCTCTGTCTGGATGAGGGACCACAAAAGAGGAAATAACACCTGTACTCATGAGATCTATTAATCATTCTGAGAAAATTGTGAGACCACATTGTTAATTCTATGTCTATCGCCCCACTGGCCGATTGCCATGTTTCCTCAAATGAATGTATAAAAAACACTGCTTGATCTGAGTAAAATTGCAGCAGTTCACAGCATACTCTGGTGTCTGTGTCTGTCTGTCATTCGCCGAATCCCACTTATCCTGAGTACCTTCAACCCGTTCTCCCTCGGTCTGGTGTTCCTACTGAGACCCAGTCCGCGGCAGGTGGCGCTTCGAACAGGGACATGAAGGACAGGTAATTTTTTCTCTTCTTTCTCTCTTTTCATAAGTAGGGATCGGCTCCTGTCAGGGTTCTGCAGACCCGCCGGTAAAGGCTCACCGGTTAAGCACAGGTAATCCAGAAGGTAAGCATGGGGCACCACCTCTCAAAGGAGGACAAATTATTTGCATCTGTGATAAGACATATGTTGGCAGAAAAGGGCTTGAAGGCAACACCAGAGGCCTTGGCAGAATTCCTTAAACTCGTGAAGGAATTGTGTCCCTGGCTCACAGAGGATGGCAGCCTGACACTGACGGAATGGAGGAAGGTAGGGAAGGCTATGCACAGATATACAAAAGAAAAGGGAGAAGAACGCCTCAGTCTCAGTCTGCTTTGCCTCGTGATGTCTTGGAGGCTATTACTAGCAATGCAGTCGCTGCTTGGCGTCGCATTCCACCTCCCGGGACAAAGAGCATGGTGTTATCAGGGATTATACAAGAAAATGAAGAAACATATCAAGCCTTTATCTCTAGATTTGAGGAAGCAATATATAGAATGTTTCCCCCTTCAGAGGGGACGGACATGCTTCTGAAACAGTTAGCCTGGGAAAATGCCTAACCCTGTTATGAAAAGCCATAGGGGGTCAGGACAGTTTGGCTCTTCAGACTCCGTAGAAGGAGTCAACTGGGTACAAGAATTAGGGCAACGACCCTTTAAGATAATCATCCTGGACAGCAGGAGCTTCCAAGGACTCTTGGACACAGGTGCTGACAGGACCTGCATAGCAGGAAAGGATTGGCCTTCTTCTTGGCCAACACACAGAACAGGATCCTCCCTTATGGGAATAGGGATGGCTTCCGGAGTAATGCAGAGTTCAAAGCTTTTAAAATGGCAAACAGACAGTAAAGAAGGGTTTATACAGCCTTATGTGCTACCCTCTCTACCATTTACCCTATGGGGAAGAGACTTAATGGAGTCACTTGATGTACATTTAGTAACAGGAAGTTCTGAGCTGGAGCAGCATTTTACATAGGGGCCACTGCAAAGGATCTCTATGCAGACTCTATACAGTGGAAGTCTGATCAGCCTGTATGGGTTAGTCAGTGGCCCCTGACACAAGAAAAAATACAGGCATTAGAACAGCTGGTATCAGAACAATTGGAAAAAGGGCATATAGAAGAATCTAATAGCCCATGGAATACTCCTGTATTTGTCATAAAAAAGAAATCAGGAAAATGGAGACTACTACAAGATTTAAGAGCAGTAAATGCTACAATGGAGGATATGGGGGCCCTACAACCAGGACTCCTATCCCCTGTGGCCATACCAAAGGACTGGCACATTATAGTCATTGATCTACAAGATTGCTTTTTTACAATAAGATTACAGCCTCAGGATCGCCCTAGATTTGCCTTTAGCATACCCTCAGTTAATTTTAAGAGACCCTATAGACGATTTCATTGGAATGTATTACCCCAAGGAATGAAGAACAGTCCTTCATTATGTCAAAAATTTGT